ACTTTAACTTTTACCAAAGTAATTTTTTGGTAAGATACTTGTACTTTTACTCAATTATGACTTTGTGGTACTTTATACAACACTGCCTTACTGACTGCTGCTTTTAAGAGAAAATGTCTGTTTCATCTGTTAAAATGTGCTAAATAAAGATTATTATCATTAGCAGGCAGACAAGACACATTAGTTCCTCTTAAATTAATCACATATATCTATACTTTAAAGATCAATCATGACATAGAAAAGGAAAGAGGCAGTAAACACATGAATGCAGAAACCAGGGAGCAGAAACAGACATGTTTTAGTTACAGGGCTGTTACTGTCTCACGATTCAATTCTAATTTTTAGGGTCATGATTCAATTCAAAATAGATTTTTTTTATTAAAAACTGATAATGTGAGCCCATTTGTCGTGTTCCCAAAGTGCTTCATCCTCATTTTGCAAACCTTGCACCCACTGTAGTTTGGTAAAACAACAACAACAACAAAAACCAAAAGGATCCCAAATCTTTGCCTTCAACAAAGATGGGTCTGGTTCAATCTCTTTCAGGGTGTCCGCAGATCCTTAAAAAGTCTTAAATTCACATATCTAAAATTAAGACCTTAAAAAAGTCTTAAATTTGTTAAAAAATGTGTAAGTTGGTCTTAAATTTGATAGTCAAAGGTCTTAAATTTTGTCGGGCAGAAGCGATTAAAGCTGTTCGTCTGCCCCGGCCGTCTCTGCAGAACAATATATTTATATTTTCAGTCTTAAATTTCATTCATGATGGTCTTAAAAAGGTCTTAAAAAGTCTTAAATTTGACTTGGTAAAACCTGCAGAGACCCTGTCTTTCCTCCAGTTCTGTAGTTTCCTCTTAGTTTCAGTGATTTCTTCACATGCTGCAGAGGCAGCTTTGAAGTGATGTCAGGACGTCCCATGTAGTTACAAACAGAGGCTGACAGCCTTTGAATTAGCTTTATTTTWAAAAATTTTTTAAAATAAATTCTGAATGAGAATCACGATTCTGACGTGAGTAGAGGTTTTTGGTGCACCCCTAGTTCCCAGTGAAGCATGTGTTTATGACTCTGTGGCTGATTAATTATGAGGATTAATCAGTTTTATATAAGTGTAATCCTTGACACAGCTTTATTTACTAACTACAGTTTATAAATCCTGGTTTATTGTTTTTGAGTTTCTCCAATGGGTAAACAACCTCGACTCTTCTGTCACAGGAGGTTTGATTTATTTATTTACAGACTTTTGCTGTATTCACAACAGCTTTCAGCACTGTGGAACTGTTCACATACAGTCACATTCACAACAGCTTTCAGCACTGTGGAACTGTTCACACACAGTCACATTAACAACAGCTTTCAGCACTGTGGAACTGTTCACATACAGTCACATTAACAGCTGCTTTCAGCACTGTGGAACTGTTCACATACAGTCACTTTAACAGCTGCTTTCAGCACTGTGGAACTGTTCACATACAGTCACGTTCACAACAGCTTTCAGCACTGTGGAACTGTTCACATACAGTCACATTCACAACAACTTTCAGCACTGTGGAACTGTTCACAAACAGTCACATTAACAGCTGACCACAACAAATCCTTTATTAAACAAAAACATTCATCTTTCTTACACACCTTATTGGCTGCAGTGGGAATGATCTAAATAGACTTTCTTAACAGAAGTTAAATATTATTTTCCCTTTTCTAGACCAGGGTTTCTTAACCTTTTTGACCTCAGGGCCCAATTTATTGAACATAAAGTGACACGAGGTCCAGTCAGACATTACCAATGTATGGATCAACATGATAATTATAATAAATCTTGGTTTAATTTTTATTGTATTTACATCATAACTAAACTATCATAACTAACA